TTAGTAATTATTTGATATTAAATAAAGAAACATTGTTGACCACGCAGCGCAAGTGAAATAAGAATAATTGATCATAATATAAAATAAACTCTACTGAGTTTATTATTAATTTTTTTTATTGACATTATCAGAAAAGGAAGCAATTTGGGGATTGGCTGATTGGAAAGAATGTAAATAGCATTATTAACTATCTAAATAGTTCAGTGATAATTTTTTTTTATTAAAAGTAAAAGATATTGAATTTAAATTACATGGCATACGGGTAGAGTGGGATAAAAGATAAAAGAAAATTGCTTTCTGTTATTCAACCAAACATCCAATAAAAAAAAAAAAACTACAAAAGCATGAAAATGACAAATAATTTATTAACATTAGTGTAGCTGCAAAGAACTCCAAATTCTTCTCTTGCTCAAATCTTCTCTTCGGTTGACCTACAAAACCCCGAGGTTGAACCTCGAGGTAGACACTCCGATACCTAAATGAGTATCAATCGGGTCTACCAAAAAAAAAAAATAAAGGCAAGGTTTGAGTTTGTTCTCAAGTACCTTTGGGGAAGGACCCTCAAGGGATATTTATAGTCTTCGAAGAGATGTCCATGTGTTTTTTTTTTTTGCGGATAACCAGGATCATACGTGTCAATCATCACAGAAACCTCTCGTATAAAGATTGAGCATATACGGATTTACTGTAGACCCAATATAAAAGGGATGAGCTTGATTTGAGCTTGGTTGTCATGATGATGAGCTCAAGCGTACTCCGAGTTCATTCGAGATTGTTTACCTCATCTAGGGTAGTTCACCTCAGACTTGGTTGTCATGAGGATGAGTTCAACCATAGTCTGAGTTCATCCAAGGTTATTTACCTCATCTGGGGTAGTTCACCTCGAACTCAGTTGTCATGAAGATGAATTCAAACGTGGTCCGAGTTCATCCGAGGTTGTTTACCTCATCCGGTGTAGTTCACTTCGAACTACCATCACACTATTCCCCCCGGGAGTCATTCACTTGTGCGTGATGTGGAGGTTACGTGGGTAAGGGGTAAACGTATAATTTATGAT